CGTGTGTGGGTCTGTACACTCACGTATTTGGTGTGTATCGCTAAGAGATCAGGACTCTGTTAAATAAAACCACACAATACCATTAACACACCTGGAAGTTAATACTTCCCTAATATCTTCAAATATTCAGTCAGGTTCAGATTTCCCTGATTATCTCATAAGTGGTTTTTTAGAACTTTAAAATTTTTTTCTCTATTTTTTCTGTTATATTATTTAGGTCTACATTTTGAAATAGTTTCAAACTAACAAAAACCTTTTGTGAAATTAGTACAAAGAATTCCTGTGTACCCTTTACCCAGATTCCCCAAATGGCAGCATCATAACTCAGCAGAATTATCAAGATCAGGAAATGCTTGTTGATAACAATCCTAGAATCTGGAGCCCTTCCTCAGAGCAGGCCCACCAACACCCCTTGTCTGCCCCAGGACCTCACCCCGGCTCACACGCGGCCTTTGGGGGTCAGACCTGTTAGCGGCCTTCAGTCTGCAACAGTTCCTTGGTTCTTTGTCTTTTGTGACTGTGACACTTTTGAAGAGTACTGGTCAGTTGTTTTTTGGAAAGTTTCTCAGTTTGGGCTTGGTATGTTTTTTTAAGCAACCATAAGTTTTTCATCCAAATGGAGACACTTGCAAATAAAAAGTTGCTGAATTCACAACTGCACAGAGACAGGGGGTGTAAAGCAGGTCAGCGATGCCCCATGTCCCTGATACTTATGTCACTCTACTCAGTGTTCTTTTGGGTCCTCTCCCTTCCTTTCTTCCTTGGAACAAACATGTGCTGAACTTCCAGCATTCTATATGCTGTTGGTCATATCCTCATAGTGCCATTTAACATATTTCTCCATCCCTGTATTTCCAGTAAACCAGGGCCCCATCAATTCCAGTTTTTGGCCAGCCCCTCTTAAGCGTCTGCCTTCCTTCGCTTGGGGAATGCCACTCCTGATTCTGTCAATCTCCACAGTGAGACACAGTCTCCCTTAAAAGTTGGTTTTCCCAGGAGCCTGGGTGGCTTAGTTGGTTAAGCATCTGACTTTTGATTTCAGCTCAGGTCATGATCTCGGGGTTGTGGGATGGAGCCCCACATCGGATTTCACACTCAGTGGGGGTCTGCTTGAGATTATCTCTCTCCCCCTCTGTCCCTCTCCTTCCTCTTCCCTGTCTTTCATTTTGTGTTTCTCCATGCACCTCCCTGAATGATCTTATTTAACCACCATCTATATGCTAATAATTTAAAAATCTCCACCTTCAGCCAGTACCTCTCTCTTGTGCTCCAGACCATCTTCTACTGTGTAGTAAGGAAGATCTGTCTAAAATTCCATCTGATTGGGTCACTTTACTTTTTAACATCCTCCCCGTTGCCTTCAGGATCAAATCCAAATTCCTCACTATGAATTTGAGGACCCTTATGACCCAGCCTCCACAGATTAGCCCAGCATCATCTTGTAGTTCCCGTCCTGTGCCACAGTTCCTAATGCTGACATGGTCCCTGGGCTCTAGGCTCTGCCCTCTGTGCTAACTCCCTTTTCTCCTTTCCTCATCTGGATGAATCCACCAGGAACCCCCTTTGCCAGGAAGCCTTTCCAGTGGCCATGGCTGGATGAACTCTCTTAAGTGTTTATCCCCACAGATGATGAGTTGTTGGATAGTAGATCCATGTTTCATCTCTATCCTTATTGCCTGAAAGGTCACTGGCACTCAGATGTTGCTGAATAAATATTGAAGGTGACTGGAGATAGTATAAATTCCTTTTCCTTCAAACTTTAAGTTAGGGCCTTATATGGATGTAAGGGTATGAAGGACAGGGAGCTGTGCAGTCCAGACTCACCATCACCAGCTCACCATCTACCAAACTCTTACTCTCATGTTAAGGCACAAGGATGAGTAAGAATACGGCCCTGAATCTTCCCTCCCAGGAGAAAACATAGAAAAAGTGTAGCCCTATCTCACAGGCACCAAGTGTTGTGAGGATATGGGGGATAAAGAGGATGAATTTGACTAAGGAAATTTGAAAACTCTTAGTGATTTGAATTGGACCTTAAAATACGGCAAGATTTGATATTGGTTTTGGGGAGAGGGCATCTTGAGCAGAAGCTTAGCTGCGGCCCATGCAAGGAGCATTCCGCTTTGGGATGACTGTAGGCTAGGATGTGCAAAGGAGGAGACCATGAGGGAATGCTGGAAAGGTATGCAGTAGGGACCATGCTGCAGAGGCCTTTGAAGGCAGAGGAGTTTGGATTTGTCCTGACTTGTCCCCCCACAGCTGTGCCTCCGCATACCTCAGATCGGGGGTGAGAGCAAGGCTTTACAGAGGAGGTTGAAAAAGTTGGAACAGTAAGGGTGGACAGCTTTATCAGTCCTTGCAAGGATAGAGCTCATTATGTTCCAGAAGCTCCTGATGGCAGAACTGAGGAAAAAGTAGTGATGGGAAGCTTCAAAAATATTTTTCAACTACTATTTTTGTGTTCATGTTGGAGGGAAGGATGAATAGACAAAATCAGTATAAATTTGAATGTTTTGGCTTCAGAGATGAGTTACATTGTGAAGACAGTCCCCACCCCACCCTGTTCCTGTTTGCACATAACGGATTTATTAGCCTTCACCCTTGACTCTGCCCTTGTCGTACAGCAGGGAGAAGGGAGGTGAAGGTGTCTGTGCCTGAGCGCTCAACCGCTGTAGGGACACCCAGGCCTGGGGCCTCCTTGCTACTCCCATTCTTCTGGTCACCCCGACAGGAAGCTGTGGAGTCACTGCTGACTCTCCTCTGACCTCATCCCCCACATTCAAACAGTGGCCAAGTACTTGCAAATGTCCCTCTTGGCTTTAGAATGCTCAAGTGGCAGGTTGGGCTGGGTCGTCCAGTTTAACTGCTGGCTCCTGGACTCACTGGCTTCCTTTCCGTCCGCGTGCAGCAGGTGTTACCCAGCCACTGTGCCTGGGTGGGCACCCCAGCTCTGTGCTCTGGGAGGCCTGGCTCCCTGAGTTCTTTCGTACTGTGTAAATGGCATGTAGTTGGTGGGGAGTCAGTTTGTTGCTGCGTGAAGACAACCATTTCTAAACTCTTCCCCACCCAGTCACACTTCAATCCACTAATGTCTAAAGATGTTGGATCCAAACAGAAAAAGAAACCCATGTACTTTCCTTACACATCTGGAACCACCCACCCTCATCCTGTCTTTGAGAGTTAACACTTCCTCTTGACATGAGCTCCTCAATGGAGAAGCCTCTTGGCCAATCAGTGTAACAACCCTGTCCCTCCCATGTTTCAAGTCCATTCAGGCTTCTGCCTCCCTACCCCTGATAGGCCCACAGTTGGCCCCAGTCAGCACCACCGGCTGTCGGCCTTTTAGCTCCTTTCTGCAAGAAATCCTCAGCTCTGTTGTTGGACACCCCACTGCTCGCTCACCTACCCCCCTACCTTTCCGAAGCCCCCTACTCCCCATTCTTTAACTGGATGGTCTGAACATACTTCTTAATTGGAAATTTCTTAACTTTGTGGATGAATTTTGGTCATTAGCAGTGAGGATGTATGAGAGAACTAGTCGAGAGGGGATTCCTCCTGAAGGACAGAAAACTTGTGCAAGCCATATAGGGTGAAGGCCAGCCCGGGCCACTGTCCCTCCCTATGGAGCCACATTCTGCTGGCCAGAAACCTGGATGCGAAACCATACACACCTCAAGTTCTTGGCTGTAAAAACCTCTAGGCACACCTCATTTTTAAAAATTTATATCATAGGCTCCCATTGGCACAGCACTTTTGGGGGCCCTCCTGGGTTTGGCACATTTTGGGTCTACAAATGTGTGTGTTGCTCGAGAGGTTAGAAGTCCTGACTTCTGACTCTGAGAATTTAGGGTCCCTAAGATTCAGCTCCAGAAGAAAGAGAAACATTTGTAAGAGGATTCCATGTGTTTTTTAAGTGGGGAGATTCATGGAAATGAGAATTTGGGATCATGGCAATCCCATGAGAAATGGGGACAGTGCCTCCCTGTGCAAGGGGACATTACGGAGGAGCCCTGAGTCTCCATTAGTGACCTGACACAGCTTTGACCTCTTGGCTCGTTGCAGGGGATGGTGGCAGAGGGCAGAGTCCTGCCTGAAGGTGCTTTATTTTCTCTCCCAAGGAGCCATCCCGCCCAGCCAAGCCCTAGACTCCCCTGGCATTGTGGTAGCAGGCTGTTTTGTAGGTGTTGACATTGGTTCTTGGCATCTGACCAGAAAATAGAGAGCTTTGGAGGATGGATGGAAATGATCACATTTAAACTAGCATTCCCTTCTCAAATGTCCCAGGCTGGCCAGCCTGCCCTCCCCAGCATGGGTTTGGCCCCTTCACGGAGGAGGGCACACAGACCCCGACAGACACAGGGCCCACCTTGTGACCTTCTGGACAGGTGTCTTGCAGCTGCCTTTGCTGATAGCTATGTCAGAGGCCAGGTGGCACCTGGGCCAGCTAGCTTCTTGCAGAGGTGGCCCCTTCCTGGGGACCGGTGTGGGCGGCACCCTGGTGAATGTGCCCCCATCTGGGGCTGCAGAGCCCAGTGTCTGGAGCGGAGGCAGATCTGGGGCCTTAGGGACCACGGCTCTGGGGCCCAGGGCTGGAGTTGTGGCCAAAGCAGGGAGGGCATCTTACATTCTGGTGGGTGCGGCGGTCGCCTGTCAGTGCGCATGCGGCTCGCGGAGACGCCGCTCCACCTCTCCCACGCCCCCTACCGCCTCCTCTGGGCTGTAGCCGCAGGGTCTGAACCTGCTTCGTTGTACATGTCTTCATTTTGCCAATGAATTTCAGTCATTAACATGAATAGATACATTTTACTTTTCTATGTATATTGGCACAGACTCTGAAAGCATTTTTAGGGAATGGCCTGACAATGGCTATAAACTGTCTCCACCATTTAATGTACAGAAAGTCACATGGTGCATCTGTTTCAGATTGGGATCTTGCATGGACGCTAACTGCGGGATGAACTGTCCGGCCCCACCTTTCTTCCTGCTCCATTAAACAGTGATCGCAATACTTCCTGATCCCAGAAGCAAAAATCTTCTGTTGGCTGCCCTCTCTCAGCGCGCGATGTGTTCCTGTTGCCCCAAAGCGTGAACTAAAGCCGTGCTCTCTTCCCTGCAGAATTTCCTACGACCCCGCCAGGTACCCGAAGTACCTGCCCGAGGCCTATTGCCTGTGCAGGGGCTGCCTGACCGGGCTGTTCGGGGAGGAGGACCTGCGCTTCCGGAGCGCCCCGGTGTACATGCCCACCGTCATCCTGAGGCGGACCTCGGCCTGCGCGGGCGGCCGCTCGGTGTACGTGGAGGAGTACGTCACCGTGCCGGTGGGCTGCACCTGCGTCCCCGAGCAGGAGAAGGAAGCAGACAGCAGCAACTCCAGCATGGACAAGCAGGGCCCCAAGCTCCTGCTCAGCCCCAGCGACAAGCCGGGCCGGCCCTGAGGCCCTGCCGTTGTCCGAGGCCCCTCTCCCTGGAGCGTGCGGGCTGGTTCCACCTCCCAGGAGCGAAAACGAAGACGGAAAGGGGTAAAGGACACAACTGAACGGGAGAGGTTTCCGACCCGACTGCTGGGCAGCTCACTCTCACACAGCATCATCCCCTGGTTTTCTTGGAGGCAGCAGCACAGGGTCGGTGAAGGCTGCCGGGAAGTTACCCGGTACATGGCAGCAGGCAGGGCGCGGACAGCCAGGGCCCGCAGAAGGTGGCTGGAGCCTGGCAAGCGCAGAAGTGTCTTCATGGCCCTCCCTCCGTGGCCCTCCGGGCTCAGACCCTTCCCCCACCCCCCAGCTACAGTGCGGCGCCCTTAGGACGCTCTGGGAAGCGGGGCGAGCCTTCACAAGATAGATGGTAAATGGGTGCTTCTAAAAGAGGGCTTTTTTTTTTTAAGTGGAATATATACCTACTCTTTTGTTCAATGTTTTCAATGAGGCAGAAACTATTTTTATATTAGGAATTTTGAGTATATTAAAAATTTTTTACTTGACATGTATTTTATAACCATTCTGTTTTCAGTTCCTCTGGTAAGATTTTTTAGAAGCACAGCTGGAATCCTCAGATAAACTTTTTAGCTGGCACTGGGGCCCGAGTCCCTGAATTCAGCCTGTCCCCAGTTGCTGACCATAACAAAACGGACAGGGTTGAATGTGACCTCCAGTGAAGATTTTCACAGGCTGCTCCATGAATAAAAGAGAAGCGCAGGAGGCTCAGCTCACCCCGGGCTGGCCAGGCATTCCAGAAACCTCAAACGTGGTTTGTTCGTGACTGTATAAATGGCCACAGATGTATACAATTAAATACTTTTTCACTTTTGAAAGTAAGTGGAGCCCAATAAGAGGTCACGGTGGGACAGGGCGAGAGGTGGAATGTGCTATCTTTGTCAATTCTCAGAAGAGTCCAAGTCTTAGCTTAGTTGTAAGGGCTTCAGGAACTAGCCAAATAGGAGAAGCAGGCCAGCTTAGGATTTCCAGAAATCAGTATTGGGGGCCTCTTTTTCTACATCCTTCAGTGTGAGCTAAAACCATACTCTCTTCTGTAGGCTGGAAGTTTGTCCTTGAACACAATTATTTGTAAAAGTGACAAGTTCTTTTTAAATCATTAAAGCAATTGTAGGTGAAGGGCATGTTGGCTGCGTGCATTTCTCTCTGGGCTCCACTCATTTTTAGAGGAAACTATTTTAGTCTTCACTTTATCTTAATTTTATGGTTGAAGTTTAAATTAAGATCTGATTTGGTCTTTGAAAGATCAACTACTCCTGCAAAGTCAGTCTCTCTTCTGTGACACCCCAACCAAGCCAAGAAGTGTCCCTTATTTGTATGTATCTTTTTTTAAGATTTTTTTTTTTTTTTTAATTTGTCAGAGGAGCACAAGCAGGGGGAGTGGCAGGCAGAGGGAGAAGCAGGCTCCCTGCAGAGCAAGGAGCCCGACTCAAGACTCGATCCCAGGACCCTGGGATCGTGACCCCAGCCGAAGGCAGACGCTTAACCGACTGAGCCACCCAGGCGTCCCTATTTATATGTATTTCACTCTCAAACTTCAGCTGTCAGTAACAGAGCTTTAGCTCCTTAGTTACCAAGTATTAGCCTTAGTTTGATCTACATGGAAGGTTCACTGAGAGAACTTTCAACTTGTATTGACAGAGGTTGTATGTGAAAAATACATTGCTGAGCAAAATCCAGATATTCCAAAAATTCAGAAATTCAAAATTGAAAGTGTTAGCTGTGGATAGTTCTGTACAATCTGGGGAATTTTACTTCTGCATTCAATCTCTGGGGGAGTGGTGTGTGTGGAAAAAAAGGTATCCCCAGTGGTAGTATATCTGGAATACATTCTTATCCGGAGCAATCTTTCATTGCCAGCTCAAAAATAATATCAAATCCATAAATTAAAAAGAAAAACTGCTTTTAAAGCAGTGGCTTGGGTAATCGTTACATTCACTGCCACTATTGGGTTACATTTTCCAGCTACTCAAATATTAATAGTGCAAACATCAGAGGAGACTAGACTTAAGGAGAGTAGACATTTGGGGAAACTATCACGGTTTTATTTTTATTATTAGTTTAACTAATTAGCTTGTGAAAAGGTAGCAAATTCCCTGTGGAAGAAATTTAGCTTTCCATTCTATAGAACCGGAAAGGCAACCTTTCTTTGTGTTTTCTCTCTGAATGGAATATTCATCCACTTAATATTTATTGAGCACTTGCCCTGTTCCAGGCCCCTGAGAGCCACCTGTGAAGCAGGCACAGTCTCCGTCCTCGGCCGAAAGCAGACCCTGCACGGGCTGTCAGAGCACAGTTAGGCGTTGGCGGGCCCCTCCTCACAGGACGTGCGGCCCCATGAATCTGAGCCACATTTTCCTCCCTTATAAATGGATGGTGCCGCCTCCTTCAGTCCCTGTGAGGACCACACACCATCTGTAAAGCACAGCGCCTGGCACATAGGAGGTATGAGAACATACTGGCCGCAGTGATTTATAAGCTACACTGAAAATAAGTATCAAGCTATTCTTTCTTCATGTTATGTTTACTGCTTTAGCAAGGATAGGTCATTACAATGACTTTTTGTATAAAAGTTTAAAAAATCGGGGCGCCTGGGTGGCTCAGTCGGTTAAGCGGCTCCCTTCGGCTCAGGTCATGATCCCAGGGTCCTGGGATCG